CCAGCCCCTCACTGGGGGATTCTAGGCAGGTGCTCTACCACTGAGCCACACCCCAGCCCCTCACTGGGGATTCTAGGCAGGTGCTCTACCACTGAGCCACACCCCCATCCCCTCACTGGGGGATTCTAGGCAGGTGCTCTACTGTAAGCTCCATCTCTGGCCCTGGATGGATGTTTTTAATTTTTAATTTTGTGTTGCTGTGGTACTGAGGACGGAACCCAGGGTCTGATTTCCCAGACTCTCAAGAAAGGATTCTAGGCCAGCCTCTTCCACTGAACTGTACATTCACAGTCTCTGAAGATTTTTTTTTAGTAACAGCTTTATAAATATGACTCATATGTACACCACTCATACGTATTTTTTGAAGATAAGATCTCGTCATGTAGCTCAGTCAGGCTTTGAACCCTACTATCCTCTTGCCTCAGCTTTTCAAGTGCCGGGGGTCACAGATCTGTGCCACCACCCCTAGCCTGATGGTTAATTTTAAAGTACACTTCATACTTATCACCAGGGGCTGGCAAGATGGCTCAGCAGGTAAGGGCACTTGTCATCAAGCATGGTGGCCCGAGTTCGATCTTCAGGGCTAACTGACCTTCTTCCTCCCCCTTTTCTGCTCCTTCCTTCCTTCCTTGAGACAGTCTTTCTCTGCACTCCAGGCCGGCTCTGAGCTTTCATTCTTCCTGTCTCAGCCTCCACAGCACTTGGATGACAGACCCGTAACTCCTCACCCAACTCAGGGCCCTTTCTTTAGTTCATTTTGAAGTTTAAGCAGCATTTGTTTACTATTATTGGGTGCGTGTGTAATAGTATGAGTATGGAGGTCAGAAGACAACTTTGTAGAGTCAGTTTTCTCCTTCCCCCTGTGTGTGAGTTCCAGGGCTTGAGTTCGGATCACCAGGGCAATTCTAGGCAGGGGCTCTACACTGAGCCACACCCCAGCCCCTCACTGGGGGATTCTAGGCAGGTGCTCTCCCACTGGGCCACACCCCAGCCCGTCACTGGGGAATCCTAGGCACAGGCTCTACTGCTGAGCTCCATCTCCAGTCACTGAGAGGTTTTTTTTTTTAAGTTTTGATTTAATAAACAGCTAGCACCTTTAGCTATGAGCCATCTTGTAGGCTCATGAGTTGCTTTCAAAATTGTTATTACATGTATTTGTGTGTGTGCCCGCCCATATGTGTATGTGCTGTGGCATGTGTGGAGGTCAGAGTACCACATCCAGGAGTAAGTTCTCTCTAAATGTAGGTCCCAAGGATCAAACTCAGGTTATTAGGCTTGGTGACATCGAGCCCCATTCCTGTCCCCTAAATTCAGTTTATTGTGTTATTGTGTGCGTAAGTCTGTGTAGGGTATGTGAATAAGTGCGGGCACACATGTGCCATGGTGTGCATGGGGCGATCGGAGGGTAACTGGAGGGTAACTTTCAGGACTCAGTTTGTTTCTCCGCCGTGGGTCCCAGGAGTCAGACTCAGGTTGTCTGGTTTGTGTGGAAGGTGTTTGAACCTGCTGCGCCACCGGCCCCTCAGGGACCTTCCTTTAGGGCATTCCTTCTATATACGGGAGCCCACGTCCCTGGGACAGAAGGGTTCCAGGAGTCCCATCCCAAGGACTGGCTAAGTTCTCAGCATCCTGGTTCAGAAGACCCCGCGGTGGCCTAAAGGACAGCAGCCGCCCAGCAGCTCCCCTTGTCCCTGGATCCAGGGCTCCCTGGCTCTGACCCTGCCCCCCTCTCTTGCAGTTCATGGCATCTCACGGGAACGAGGCCGCCAGAGCCACATTCGAGTCCAAAGTCCCGCCCTTCTACTACCGTCCCACGTTCTCCGACTGCCCGTGAGTACACAAAGGACTCTGTCAGGACGCTGGTAAACATCGCGGGGCCTGGCCCTGGGTGGCACTGGGCGGGCCTAGGGGGCAGGCGCAGGGGCTGCGGCTTTGAGTTTGGGTCCCCAGGAGCCCAGCAAGAAGGGCCCAGGCTGTCTCCACCATCTGGCCTCTATCCATCTATATATTCGTTTAGGTGTCCATGTATGTCTGTCTGTCTATCTATCTATCTATCTATCTATCTATCTATCTATCTATCTATCTATCTATCTATCATCTATCTATCTATCTTTCTGTTTGTTTTTATGGAAGGGTCTTGGTCTGTATGTAGCCCAGGCTGACCTAAAACTCCTCATCCTCCTGCCTCAGCCTCCTGAGTACTAAGAACAGGCATGAACCCCCATTTTCGTTTTACTGCTTGTAGTATCTGAATGGACCTGGGTGCAATGGGGGCCGTTGGGGTCCCTCCCCGGGATCTTAAGTGGGTCTTGGGCCTCTTGGATGCTCCTAGTGGCCTGGAAGCTGCCATCAAGTGGGGCCAGCCCCTTGGTGTTCAGAAATTGCAGAAGAGGAACACAGGGGCTAGGTACCTACCTTCTCTCAGCCCTGGTTTCCCCATCTCCCAAGCTAGCAGGGATAATGAGGTAGTGACTGCCGTCCCCTGGGTTCCCAATCCCAGCTCTCTGTGTAAGCCCCCTCCTCCTCCCGGCATATGAGGAAGGAGCTGGATCCCTCTCAGCCCTAGCCAGGGGTGCACCTCCACGGAACCCCCTTCCGGCCCTGCCTGGCACTGTCCAGTTCCCAGGGCCTGTGTGGCACCTCTCAGTCCCCCTGAGTTGGGGGCCCTTTAATTCCACAGTCCTTAGATTCTCCACGATCTTCCTAGCAGTCTCAGGGTTCCTTCAGGGCAGGGCATCCCACCATGTCTGTCTTCTTGGGTTTTGTTTTTGTTTTTCGAGACAGGGTTTCTCTGTGTAGCTTTGCGCCTTTCCTGGAACTCACTCCATAGACCAGGCTGGCCTCGAACTCACAGAGATCCGCCTGGCTCTGCCTCCCAAGTGCTGGGATTAAAGGCATGCACCACCACCGCCAGGCTAATGTCTGTCTTCTTGGGTGCCCAGCACAGACAGCTTCTCCTAAGGACTCAGGAAGTCAGACAGGGTGGCGGAGCCTAGCCTAGCCACAGGGGCAGCTTGGCCCATTCAGCCTGGGTGCTGACTTCCACGCTGGCCACCTCTCACCTTTCAGCTCCTGGACAGCCTCTGGGCCTGGCCCGCCCTGTCTGCCTTTCCCCAGCAGGGTACCACAGCTCACTCTCTTCCCTAAGCAGTGTGGGACCAGATCAGTCACGCCCCCTGCTCTGACGACAGGCGTGCTGCCATGGAGACCCAACTTGTGCACTCGGGGCCTTCACTCCACCTCGTGTAGCCCCTGACAAGAGGCTCTGGGTCTCAGAGGGGTTGAGAGAACTCCCGGAGGACACAGGGGCCGGGATCCACACTGGAAATCCCCACTTTGCGGGCAGGCAGAGGCCGCCCTGACGTGGGTCAGAGAGAGGCCAGCCTCAGGCAGCTGCGTGGCTGTGCAAGTTGCTCACCCTTCTGGAACTTTCCAGGAGGAACTTTCCCTTTCTTGGAAACCTGAGCCCGCTCCTGCGTGCAGCGACCCCTCACCATGCTCCCCCTGCACCCTGCCTCTCCCCCTCACTCCCAGGCCTGCTCAGCGACCCCTCTCCACTCTACCCCTGCACCCTGCCTCTCCCCCTCACTCCCAAGCCTGCTCAGCGACCCCTCCCCACTCCCCCTGCACCCTGCCTCTTCCCCTCACTCCCAGGCCTGCTCAGCGATCCCTCCCAACTCTACCCCTGCACCCTGCCTCTTCCCCTCACTCCCAGGCCTGCTCAGCGACCCCTCCCAACTCTACCCCTGCACCCTGCCTCTTCCTCTCACTCCCAGGCCTGCTCAGTGACCCCTCCCCACTCCCCCCTGCACTCTGCCTCTCTCCCTCACTCCCAGGCCTGCTCAGCGACCCCTCCCCACTCTCCCCCTGCACCCTGCCTCTCCCCCTCACTCCCAGGCCTGCTCAGCGACCCCTCCCCACTCTACCCCTGCACCCTGCCTCTTCCCCTCACTCCCAGGCCTGCTCAGCGACCCCTCCCCACTCCCCCCTGCACCCTGACTCTTCCCCTCACTCCCAGGCCTGCTGTGGTTAAGTTCTGGTGCACCTGGGCCCCGCCCAGGTTCGTGTTTGCTCAGCGTTTTTTCTTGGATTGACTCACTTTGTAAACCCAAGGTCCCGGTGTGTGTGTGTGTGTGTGTGTGTGTGTGTGTGTGTGTGTGTGTGTGACCTGCCCAGCCCAGGCCAGCAGAGAAGCCTCCAAACACCAGGCATGGGATAGAGGTTGCTGCTCCCCAGTGAGGTTCCTAGGGTCACCTCTGCAGCCCTGACTTAGGGGTGCAGCAGCCTGTTGCCCCCCCCCCCACATCTGCCCCTGGAGCCCCTGGTGGGGACTATGGCTGTACCCCATCATCAGACTTTCTGTTAGGTTTTGCAGGATCTGACCCTGGACGGTGAGAGGGGAGGGGATCGCCCTGAATCTGCAGGGGACAGGAGGTGAGGGCGAGAGAAGGGGAGAAGCTGAATGGGAGTAGTGGGGGGGGGCGGTCTCAGGCCTGGGCTCCTGATTGCAGAGGAGAGGCTAGGATGTTCTGGGGAACAGGTGACTTAGAAGGAAGAAGTGAGGGAGGAAGGTGAGGAGGAGGGGAGGGAGGAGGGGGAAGGAAAGGGAGAAAGGAAGAGCAGGAACGTCAGGGGTGTGAGGAGGGGGAGAGGAGAGAGAGGCCGGAGAGGAAGAGAGAGAAGAGGAAGAAGCAGGGAGGGGAGGGAGGAGGGGGAGAGAAGTAGAGAGAGGAAGGGAAGGAGAGAGACAGAAGAGGCAGAAGTGTAGGAGGGGGAAATCGGGGAGGAAGGGAAAGAGAGGGAGCAGAAGGGGAGGAGGGGAGGGAGGACTGTAAGTCAGGAGGGGAGAGGAGGGAGGAAGGAAGGAGGAGGAGGCAGGAGTGTGAGGAGGAGAGGGAGGAGAGGGAAGAGGGAGAGGCTGGAGTGCTGGGAGAAAAAGAAAGAGAAAGAAGAGGGTGAGAAGGGGAGGAGGGAGAGGAGCAGGCAGAAAGGAGGAGGGAGGGGAGGAGGGAGGGCCACTTGGCGGCATGCCCCGGGTCCAGTTTGGGTCTATTACGGGGAGGGAAGCTGGGGGTGTCCGGTGGCAGGGGACCCTGGTTGCGCCCCGGATGCACCATCAGTGGACCCGTCCTCGGCAGTTTGGCCCACACTGGTCTGTTTTGTGTCTCACAGGTCTTGTGGAGGGAAGGCAGAGCCCTGCTGGGTCTGAGGCCCTGTTACCCTACTCCCCCACGCATTCACCCCTACACGGTGGGGGGGTGCTGGGGGGGGACCCAGCCCTCACCTGTAGGGATCTGCCCCTGCCCCTGACCTGCCAGATTCGCAGTAGCCAGCTAGTCTGGGCCATGGCTTTTGTCACCAACTGCTCTGTGGTCAGGCTCATCTGCATTTCTGCTGCCGGCACTTCCTGGCCCGCGCTGAAATGGTCCCCACTGGCATAAGAAGGACCCCCAGCAAGTGTTTTACATGCTGCTGGTCACCAGGCCCTTCCCGCTGACTGGGTCTCTTGGGCCTTGATACTACTTACCCGAGGTGATGCACGAGTCCATGTACAAATTGCGGGTGCTGTGACAAGAGGCCATGCACGAACCTCTGTGAAGTGTGAGATGTGTAATTGCGTGAGCTGTACGCTGTGATGGGCAGCTGTGTGTAAGTCTGTGGATTTGAGGGTCATCATGAGCTGGGGGAGACTGTGTAAACTGCAGTGATCGAGTTGGGGACGTTTGACCACAGATTGCTGTTGAGGACAGTGTGTGACTGGGATGTGACACCGAGGGATGGAAACCTGGAATGGAGATGCCCGGGTAAACTGCAGAGTGCTGGGTGATTGTTTGAGGCAGTGCTGTGTGCTGGCGTGGTCTGGCACAAGAATTTAGTACTGAGCTTTAGCAGTAAACCTGTCAGAGGAGCTCTGTGCAGTCAGAGCGTCCCAGCCGCAGCCTTGGTCTGCCTCCTCCCCGTCCACTGTAGACTTTGGTGGCTTTGGAGTCAAAAGCTGCATCTGGCATTGCTAGGGATGTGCAGGTCTCAGGCTGTGTGGTCTGCGGATGGGAGTTTCAAAGGAAGGACCCTTTCCTGGGCTAGCCTGGGCTAGCCTGGGCTAGCCTGGGGAAGGCCTGGGGAGGCTAGTCTGTGTTTCCCAACTGTGTCCCTGATGAGCTAGGTCCAAGGTGCATGTGTGCCCAGGGCGATTCCTCCTGCCTTCTTTTCAGAGGCTCTGAGCCAGGAGCTTGGTTAGAAGGTCCCATAAGACGTCTTGTCCCTGGAGACAAGCTGGCTGTGACTTCTCCCCGTGCTCTTGAGTTCTGATCTCAGTGTCCGCAGGCGCATTCCCGTCCTCTACCACTTTAGTGTGAAACTACACCCCACTTTCCGTGTGGGCTGAGGTGGAGCCACATGCTGGGGAAACCCGGTGGTGAAATCCTAGGGTTCCCCAGTAGTGCCCCCCACCATCCAGACAGTGCTCTGGTGCAGCTTCCTCAAGCATCCAAACTGGAACCATGGAAACGGGAGTAGCAGGAACCCAGGGATGCTGCTGTGGCTGAGCACTTGCCTAGGAAATGTGAGGAGCAGGGTTCAATCCTGAGCACTTCGAAAATTAAAAAGAATTTGCTCTCCCAGCTCCTTCAGCCACAAACGTGAGGTTCGGGTCTTCCTGTAGGTGGCGCTGTGCGGCTCGTACTTCTGAGCTCCCCCGTAGTGGCCCCTCTGTGGGTGTCTGAGCCATGATGCAGTGGGGCCAAGGCCATAGGGTGGCCTCGCTTGGACTTGATGGATTTTTGGAAATTTATCTCCAAGTGAGGTTGCTTCAGTGGTCCTGGGGGGTCGGGACTGTAGCATGAGACCTGGGGCTTGGTGGTAATTCAGCCACAGCAGCCACGGAAATCATGCAAATTGGCCAGCCTGGGATGGGTAGAGAGGAGGCTATGAGCTTAGCATGCCCTTGCTGTGTTCCCAGAAGAAAGAAGGAAAATGGGGAGCTACCTAGGCAGGTTGTTAAAAAAAAAAATAAGCAAGGCCGGGCGGCGGTGGTGCACGCCTTTAATCCCAGCACTCGGGAGGCAGAGGCAGGCGGATCTCTGTGAGTTCGAGGCCAGCCTGGGCTACAGATCGAGATCCAGGACAGGCACCAAAACTACACAGAGAAACCCTGTCTCGAAAAACAAAACAAAACAAAAAGCAGAGCATCTGGGTAATGAGGTTACTGTGCAGATGTGTGTGTGTGTGTGTGTGTGTGTGTGTGTGTGTGTGTGTGTGTGTCTGTCTGTCTGTCTTATTAATAATGAAACACAGAGCCTCATACATGTTACGTAGACACACCCAGCCGCACCATCTGCTACTTACTGGTAGATCTTAGGCAAGCACTCA